TGCGGCTGCGGCTGCGGCTGCTGCTGCTGCTGCTGCCGCTGCTGCTCCAGAAGGTCCAGCACCCGCAGCTCCTGCCGCTCCCTCTCCAACCGCTCCTGCTCCTCATGCTCACGCCGACGGGCAGCCTGGAGACGCGTGTCGTGGCGGTGGGGGGGCGGGGTGGACTCCGCAGAACCAGGGTCTCCAGCGTCAGTCTCCTCAGACTCAGCACCCCCAGAACCAGTACCGCCAGTGCTAGGACCTCCAACTCCAGCACCCCCAGAACTAGCACCGCTAGTGCCAGCACCCCCAACTCCAGCACCCCTAGAACCAGCACCTCCAGTGCCGGCACCTCCAGCTCCAGCACCCCCAGAGCTAGCGCCACCTGCGCCAGCACCTCCAGCTCCAGCACCCCCAGAGCTAGCGTCACCTGCGCCAGCACCTCCAGCTCCAGTACCCCGCGACCGAGCACCCCCAGACCGAGCACCGCCAGCGGCTGCACCTCCAGCTCCAACACCAACCGAGTCCACAGTAACCTGTCGCGGAAGTGCCGAAGGCTGCTGAGGGGACTGTGAGGAGGACTGCGGGGAGGGAGACGCTACCTGACGCGCGACCGAGGGGAGAGGGGTAGCGTGGGACACACCAGACGGGGCAGGAGGAGGAGAGGGTGCGAGGAAGAGAGGGGGAGGGGGTACCGGGAGACCTCGACAGGGGTACCGGGTGTAGTAGGACACGGACTCGTCAAACCGGACGTCACGGGAATCTAGGAACTGGTGGAGGGGAGGGTGGTAAAAGGACCAGTCAGCAGAGTCCACTGGGAAACCAAGGAAGACACAGGGGACGGCGCGTGCCGAGAGCTTGTCCGCGGAGGTGTCGCGAACAAGTGCAAGGCAGCCCCAGACTCGAAAGGCCGACCCAACACCAGGGGATCCAGTCCAGAGACTGGTCGGTGAAGCCTCGGGCCGCGAGACACGCGGCTGGAGGTTCAGCTGGTGTGCGGCGTAGCGAACCGCGTGAGGCCACAGAAAATGGGGCGCACGGGCATGAATCATGGACGTGCGGGCGATGTCCATGACCAAGCCTATGCGGCGCTCAGCAACCCCATTCTGCTGTGGGGACTCTGGCAGCGTCCAGGACTGGGTGATGCCCTGTTCGCCGCAGAATCCGCCGAGAATGCCGGAGCGAAACTCGCCCCCACGGTCGGAGTGAAGACAACTGACTCGACGACCACGACTGCCCTCAGTGGCTAGAAGCCACCTGATCAGCGTAGCAGTCACCTCGGACTTCTTCGCAAGAGGAAACACTGTGGTGTACCTGGAGAAGTCGTCGACGACCACCAGAAAGTAGCGCTCCCTCCCAGACCCCTGCGTCGGGGCAGGGCCCCAGACGTCCAAGTGGAGAGTCTCGAAGGGAGCGGTGGCCGGACGAAGGGAGGAGGAGTGGGGAGTGGCACGTAAGCGACCGGCGACACACGGAGAGCAAGGAGGGGCAAGCGAGGGAGGGAGCGACGGGAAGGTGCGTGGGAGACCTGTGACTAGTCCCTGACTGAGCATGCCACGAAAGCGAGGGATCGACGGGTGGCCAAGACGGTGGTGCCACAGGACGGTGCGGTGGGCGAGAGAGCGACAGGAGCAAGACGCAGCGACTGGACTGGACACAGCGACCGGACTGGACACAGCCACCTGACCGGACTCTGCTACCGGGGGGGACGAAGCAACCTGACCAGACGCAGCTACCTGCGGGGGCGGAGTGTGCAGGACGAAGAGACCTGAGTGGGGCTCTCTGGTGAACGTGGCAAGAACTGCCCCGGTGGAAGAGTCCGTACAGATCGCAGTCCTCTCGTGCGCAGGAAAAGTGACTGTGATCCCCCGGTCCTGAAGGTATCCAACACCCACCAAGTTCCGAGAGAACGAGGGGATGTAGAGACCAGTGAGGAAACCAGAGGGGACAGCCGGGCACGGGAGGGTGGTCGAGCTACGAGCAACTGCTGGTCCTGAAGTAGGATCAGCCAGGGCAACTGGGACTGGAGCCGAAAGAGGTGTGACAGTGGTGTGGTCGCGGAAGAAACACTGAGACGCGCCGGAGTCCAGCGTGAAGGAGAGCGACGCAACAGCAGTCGTCACGGCTGGGCTAGTGACTACACAAGCACCTACACTAAAAGCACAAGTACCGACACTAGCAACAGGCAAAGGTCCTAAGCTAGGTACACGTAAGCCAAGAGATCCGTACGTGACAGAATAAACAGCATCCATAGACATATCAAACACAGGGAAACCACTACGAGACAGACCGGGCCAGATCGGGGGAGCCGACTCAGGCCCAAAACGCTCACGGTAAAGGTCGTCGAGGCGGCTGTAGCAGCGCTGTGCAGAGTGGTCAGGACGCCAGCAGGTAGTGCCAGCACCAGGGCCGGTCAGGATCCGGTACTGGCAGGGGCCGACGTCGCGGCCACCGCGACGAGCCCCCCAGCTGGCTGGGCCGCTGCTGCAGCCAACGCGACCTGAACCACCAGGCCCCCATGGCTGCTGAGGGCGCCACAGCTGCTGAGGGCGCCCCTGCCGCTGCGGAAGCCACTGCTGAAAAGGCCGCTGCTGCTGTCCCTGCTGCTGGAGAACCCTAGCGGACTCCATGATAAAAGCTAGCGGGGTGCAGGAGCGGCAGGCTAGGAGCGACAGGAGCGACAGGCTGCTGTGAAAAACGAGAACAACTAGGAGCGCAAGGTGAAACCAGGCGAGTAACTGCTGGAGCACGGAGCGAACTAAGCTAGGAGCGCCAGGTGAAACCAGGCGAGTAACTGCTGGAGCACGGAGCGAACTAAGCTAGGAGCGCCAGGTGAAACTAGGCGAGGAACGGCTGGAGCACGGAGCAAACTGAGCTAGAAGCGCCAGGTGAAACTAGGCGAGGAACGGCCGGAGCACGGAGCAAACTGAGCTACGAGCGAGGAGCGAGAACGGCTGGAGCTAGAAGCGGCGAGCTAGGGCTGGCTGGAGGTAGGAACGGCCGGGGCTAGAGACCGTAAGTGCGGCTGTCGGCTGCCGCTAGTAGAGCCACTGGCAGTGGAAAGTACGTGCGACAGTAGGGGCTGCAGGACTGACGGCTGCGGGATGTAGGCAACTGTGCAGGTCGTCCGGCAAGCAGGAACGCGGGCGACAGTCGCAGGCCCCCACTGTGAACCCTTTTTTTTTTTTTTTTTTTTTTTTTTTTTTTTTTTTTAGGGTTTAATTTATTTATTTATTTTCTGGCACTAAAGCACCCCGGGGCGCGCTGCCTGCAGGGTGTGCTGCCTGCGGGGCGCGCTACCCGCGGGGCGCGCCTCCTGCGGGGCGCGCTACCCGCGGGGCGCGCTACCCGCGTGGCGCGCTGCCTGCGGGGCTGGGGTGACGAGCCAGGGAGGGCGCCTGGGCGACGGGCTAGGACGGGCGCCTGGGCGACGGGCTAGGACGGGCGCCTGGGCGACGGGCTAGGGCGCAGGCCTGGGCGACGGGCTAGGACGGGCGCCTGGGCGACGGGCTAGGGCGCAGGCCTGGGCGACGGGCTAGGGCGGGCGCCTGGGCGACGGGCTGGGGCGGGCGCCTGGGCGACGGGCTGGGGCGGGCGCCTGGGCGACGGGCTGGGGCGGGCGCCTGGGCGACGGGCTAGGGCGGGCGCCTGGGCGACGGGCTGGGGCGGGCGCCTGGGCGACGGGCTGGGGCGGGCGCCTGGGCGACGGGCTGGGGCGGGCGCCTGGGCGACGGGCTGGGGCGGGCGCCTGGGCGACGGGCTGGGGCGGGCGCCTGGGCGACGGGCTGGGGCGGGCGCCTGGGCGACGGGCTGGGGGGGGCGCCTGGGCGACGGGCTGGGCGGGCGCCTGGGCGACGGGCTAGGGCGGGCGCCTGGGCGACGGGCTAGGGCGGGCGCCTGGGCGACGGGCTAGGGCGGGCGCCTGGGCGACGGGCTAGGGCGGGCGCCTGGGCGACGGGCTAGGGCGGGCGCCTGGGCGACGGGCTAGGGCGGGCGCCTGGGCGACGGGCTAGGGCGGGCGCCTGGGCGACGGGCTAGGGCGTGGGCCTGGGCGACGGGCTAGGGGCGCAGGCTAGGGGCGCGGAGGGCGCTAACGCGCGGAGGAGGAGGGCGCTAAGGCGCGGAGATGGCGCGGAGGGCGCGGTGGCTAAGGCGCGGAGGGCGCGGAGGGCGCGGAGGGCGCGGAGGGCGCGGAGGGCGCGGAGGGCGCGGAGGGTGCTAGGGCGCAAGGGCGCGGAGGGCGCGGAGGGCGCGGAGTGTGCTAGGGCGCAAGGGCGCGGAGGGCGCTAGGGCGCGAGCTAGGCTAGGCTAGGCGAGAGGATCGACACCCCTCTGATACCATCTCAAAGTTAGCGAACAACGGAATGATTGGAATAGAAACGAATGGGGTACAAATGAGCAACCCTAGAAGCTGTACCCCCTAGAGTGCAACTCACTATAGCCTATCATATCAATGTTCAACATTTGACACAGCAGTCCATCGAGAGACACCGCCGACCAAGAACGCACATGCATCAGAAGACCCATTTGGAATGAAGCACGCTGCCTTTGCAAGAGGACTAAGTGAGCTTTCACAATATTAAAATTTTTGATAGTGTACTTTCTAAAATTTCGTATTGTGAAAGCGAGGACGTGGCCAGCGCAGCAAAGGAAGCGGTGCGACGCTACTCACCCCTCTTTTCGTCTACAAAAGAGGGACGTGTGGCTATTCGCCTCACCCACGTTCTTCATTTCTAATTGTAGTTCTACTTTCCCGCCACCCACCCCATTGTGTATCATTGTTATGGACGAGAACAATGTACTACCCATTTGGAATGAAGCACGCTGCCTTTGCAAGAGGACTACCAAGTGAGCTTTCACAACCCTCTAATTTCCTCATTGTTGTGCATATCAGTGCTGCTTGGTTTAATGATAGAATTGCACATTGGTATGTATGTCTGTTGCACGCTTGAATTGCACATTAGAATACTATATCTTGCACTCGGGACAAAACAAGTGACACAAAAACATCAATCCAGTATTTACTTTCCAGCACCGCCGCCAAGGCGCAGGGCCTGGAGAATGCGCCCCCCCCCGGGGGATGGGTGCGGGCCCTTGTACTTCCCAAGCTGAGCCTCTGAGTTGGCCTTTGCCAGCGCCACCAACCTCTCCTGAGCCGCTGCCTTGTTCTCCGGCTGAAAGCGGAAGGTAATGGTGGAGAGTTACAGGGTAAGGGGCAAACGTCATGGTGCTGTAATGGCACTGGTGACTATACTGACAGGCAGAAACAGTAATGAGCCTCGGAGCAAGAGTATGAGTGTGCACACTTGTCCGCACCAGGTAGCACAAAAAAGGTAGATCTACGAACCAGGGAGCAGTTTGAATGTGATTACTGGGAAAGTGCGAGATGGAAGAGGACCATGCAGGAGACTTTGGAGAGAAGAACGAATGGAGTGAGATGACAGGTAAGCATACAGTAATGCAAAGCAGAGGCATTGAAGAGAGCAGTACCTTGCCGGACCAGATCTTGAGGGTGGAAGCCTGGAGAGCCCGGCCGTACGAGAAGGTGAGCGACCAGGGGTGGGGGCCATAAGCCTGAACGCATGGGAAAGAACGAGATGAGGTGATGAGAATTAGTATGTCAGCATGGGACACAGTCTGAAAGCAAGTTCATATCAAGCGTGATGCTATCAAGCGGCACGATAATGCCATGGGCCACTGCACTCAGGCTCACCTGCAGGGCGTTGAGGTTGTTCGTGGCCTCCTCCTCACTCATGCCCCCCGACAGGAAGTGCACGCCGGGCACAGCGGCAGGCACGCAACGGCGCATGGTGCGCACCGAATAGCGCGCCACATCCTCTGGAGACGCGTTCGGGGCGTCAAGGCCTGCAGAGGGCACACATGGAGGGGAGGAAGGTTAAAAAGAGGTTTAAGGACACATCACGAAGTACGAAGGTTGAATGGTTCAAGCAGCGAGGACAAATGAGCAATAACAGCTTGACAGCAAGTACAATTGTGCCTGACAGCACACGCTTTCATTGGATGGGCTTCCAATATTGGAGGCAGAAATTGCAATTAGGCGGAATGGGTATGCATACCTGGGAGGATCATGTTGGGCTTGAGCAGAATGCCCTCCAGGATGATGCTGCGTGGATGGAGAACATCACAATGGGTGGGGGAGGAACAGTACAGTTGAAAACATGCTTCCGATATGTGTGTAAGTGCTGCACTTGCTCACCCTTGCACATTCTTCCTCTATGATTTGATTGTGATGATGGTTCTACTCCCACATGGGATGGCTGTGGGTGTGGCTTCATGTGTGATTACTTTTGCAGCCAAAGAATCCCCAATGGCATGCATATCCACTCCCCTCCACCTGCCCGGTTCAGTCCCTTCACAATCAATCTCCCCATTCGCCTCTGACATGCAGCATGCACATGCCACATGGCGCGACTCACTTGTACTCGTTGAGCATGCGGAACACATGCGAGTAGACCATCTCCGACACATAGGCCGTACGCTCAATGCTGTAGTCGCCGTCGCCCAGAGTCACCTCAGGCTCCACGATGGGCACCAGCCCGTTCGCCTGAAGAGACAAGGGTCAAGGGTGCAAACGGGATGCATCCAGGAGAATCGTGAAAACCGTTGGGAAACGAATCCGGGGCTTTACAGAAAAAGACAGTGACCTGTCACAGGGATGCTGTAAGCAGCAGCTTGGGAGGGGTCATGGGGAGGGGAGGAGGCATGTGGAGGCACGCACCTGGGCGATCTGCGCGTATCTGGCGAGCCCGTGGACGTTCTCGACGACGGCGCACGAGGTGGGGTGCTTGGCGTCGTCCACCTTGATCACCGCGCGCCACTTGGCGAACCGCGCTCCCTGCTGGTAGTACCTGAAATGGGGAGAGGGTCGAGGGGAGGGTTAATACGGGCAGTGGGTACGGGTAACATCTGAAAATTTGCTTCCCAGACGTCATGCAGCTATCTCACCATCAGTGGCACTCACGGGGGCGAAACAAACCCCTTCTTTCTTCCACAAGTCTACGCATTCCTTCCCACATCCATTCCCCAGCACCACTCCACGCAGGCGCGCACCTCTTGCAGCGGTCGGCAAGGCCGTCCAGCCCCTGCGTGGCGGTCTCGCCGTCGGTGCCGTCGATGGGCTGCAGGCCCGTGTCCACCTTGATGCCCGGCACGATGCCCTGCGCGCGCAGCACGTCCACGAACTGCTCCCCGCCCGCCGTCGACTGGTACAGCGTCTCGTCGAACAGAATGGCGCCGCTGATGTACTGCCGGGGGGAGCGGGGGAGTGGTGAGGGGGAGGGGAAAGAAGGGAGAAGGGGGGTGGGGGTGGGGCGCGGGGAGGAATGGAAGGGGGGAGGGAGAGAGACAAAAAGGATTGGAGAGCGCAGGGAGGGGTTGACACGGAAAAAAGGGAAGAGAGAGCGTAAGGCGTGGGGAAGTGGGTCCGAAGGAAGGGATGAGATGAAAGAGGAATGAGATGCAACGGCAGGCGGGAGGTGGGAGGCGGAGGGGGCAACAGCAGAATGCCAGGCGCAAGGTTGCTGGAGAGCGAAGCGTGCGCCGAAAATTATCGTCAGCCGCCACGGTAGCGGCGCGACGCGATTACCTGCCATGGATGGCTGTTCGGATGTGGGTTTCGTTCGGTACGGGCATAGCAAAACATTACAGGCGAACACTTCCCGTCAGCAAACCGACTGGGACTTCCCTCATGTTCAGGAATTTCGCGATGCCCGTTTGCGAGGGGCAGGTTGAATTGAGAGACTTGAAGATACATTCATGCTGAAGATGGTTCGGGATTCGGGAACGTGACAGGCTCAGAAGAGATCGGGCAGTCAATTGACTGGCCAGGGGAGACCACAACAGACCAGACCTCACCACCAGTGTTATCAGAGAGCAGACGCGGGGAGCTCGGGCAGCCACCAAAATACAGTGAATGCACCCAACGCTCATCAGCCGATTTGTTGCCTGGACCACCAACCAACACACACCAACCAAATAGCCAGCCAATCAACCAGCAAACAAACCAACCCTAGGGATTGCCGAGAAGGATCTATAAAAAAATGTGCTTGTTAGAAGGTCATGCGCTGACAAAATATCTATCCATTAGGCGACGAACTCTCGACTCTGCTGTTAGCCTTGTTTCGACGTTTGGTCATCTGCTAAATTCACATCTCATATTAGCTCTGTTCTCTCGCACTCATCTCTTTTATTAGTCCTCTACTGACTCGCAGCCATGATAAACTACGAGAAGAGATTCGGAGCGTTCAATCTGCTGTTGAGATTCTACGGCTCGCAATGGCCGCGAGCGACGCTGCTCGCCCTGCCTAGCGCCATTCTCGCCGGACTTCTCTCCGCGTTCATATTCGTCGATAAATCCCAACACCTCTTCCTCCACCCATACCCCTGTGAGCCTCACTCCCTGTTCTCCCTTCTTCCTCTCACCCTCTCTGAGAATTCTGAGAAAGCACTGCAAAATTCCCAGTAATTTCTTAGTGCGTATTGAACGGCCTCGCTGCTGTAATCATGCATTTTTCCCCGTCTGTTACCCAATAGCCGCGGTCTACCTGACTCTTCTTCTCCCTTGCGTCCCTCGTCTCGTCCCTCGTGCGCGCGTCCCGCGTGCGTCCCTCGTGCGCGCTGCGTGCTTCACCGCAGATGCCGTCTTCAGCGGCGTCGTCGCCTTCATCCTCATCTTCCGCACCAATCTCAGCTACGCGGTAAGCCTGCTCACCCGAAGACGGCTCGACGAAATCGCGCGCCAAACAATACGACGGACTCTGCGGAATGTGATAAATTGGCCGAGTGAGGATCGATTTGCTCAACAGAAGTCGAGACGGATTTCGAGACAGCCACGGCCGTGTTGAGAATTATTAATAACAGTCGCTGGCTTTCCGCGCCTTCGTGTACTCATTTGTTTTGGCTTGCCTTTTCAATGCTCTTTACTCCAATTCTTCTTCTCGACCGTGTTATTTTTTATTATCCCGTGGCGTCTGTTTGTCGCAGAGATACTGGGAGGGGCGAACAATGCTCGCTCAAATGAGGTCCGTCCGTCGTCTCGTCCTTCCCGCAATCCTTCCTTCCTCGCCATTTCATAGCCTTCATTCCGTTTCGTTCTCTTTATTTTTGTTCCTTTTAATTTGTTTCAATAATCGCTATTCGCTTCCGTTTCAAAACTCCCTGTTTTTCTCCCTCTCCCTATCTCTCTCTCTTGTGCTGTGCAGCTCGAAATGGGGCGACGCAGCAATCCAGGTGAGCCATCGGTGTTGCAATCCGCAATTTCATTTAGTTATTACATTCGCTCTCTACGAGCCGTCAACCGTTTCGTCATTTGGCCAATCAGCTTCGCTCGTCCTCCATTCCCCTGTGCTCCTTCCGCAGGTGATATCGTTCGACGAGGGAGCCAAGGAGCCCGTGCCGGGCGGGATTCGATTCCGCTCCGAGTTTGTACACACCATGAGCCTCATGCACGCGCTCGCGCTGCAGGTATGCAGCATGGCTTGTGAATCAGCAACATGGCAATCCATGCACACACTCGCTAAAACTTCTGCCCGCGCTAAACCCCTGCTCACTGCAATCCTTCCTTTGCTCTCTGTCACCGCCTCTCTCTTGTCCGTGCGACTTATTCTCCCCCCCTGCGTCCGCCTCCCACCCCTTCCCATCGCCCTGTCTGATATCTGTGTGGAGCAGAGACTAAGAGGAGACTCCTACCTGAGCAACCTAACTTATGGTGCGTGCTTCGACTCCCTGCCTTTTACCGCTGCTCCACGCGTTTGCCGTGTCTCTTGCTTCGACTTCCCCTTCCCCGTTAAGTTTAGTACTTAAGGCGCCTTCATAATCTGAATACCTCTCTTCCTCCTCTCTCTCCCGCGCAGGTCGCTTCATGGACATCCCACCAGAGCCGCCAGTGGACGCTGATCAGGTGGAGGAGTGGAACCGAGTGCGCGGGAACAAGTGAGTGCTGCGCTGTCATACGTTGGTCCTGTTTGGGTTGGGCTGGGTTTGGTTGGTTTGGGTTGGGTTTCACTTCTAAGCTCCCATCCCTTCTCCAACCCATGCTTCCCATCCATCTGTTCTCCCACCCGTGCCTTCTACCCATGCCATCGCAGGTCCCTTGTGTTCTTAAGGGCCCACCGCCCCCACCTCGAGAAGTACTGGCGGGCGCTGCCGCTGGCAGTGCGGCTCTTCCCTGACGGAGCACTCCTAACATCCTATCCCCCCCTCCCACCGCCTCCTCTCTCCCACCTGCAGGTCCCTTGTGTTCCTAAGGGCCCACCGCCCCCACCTCGAGAAGTACTGGCGGGCGCTGCCGCTGGCAGTGCTGGGGGGAGTGAACCCCACGGAGTGCAGCATCCTGGAACCTTCCCGCGACCGTGTGTACCTGGTGATGTGCTGGCTGCACCGCGCGCTCGTGGCTCGCCGCATGGCGGGGGGCATCTCTCAGGACGCCCCTATCGTGTCCAGAATATACCAAGTGTTGTCAGGTGAGGGCATGGTAGTATATATGTATATATATATTAAAACAAAAAATTGCATACCTGATAGAAGGCTCCTAAAGTCTTCAGAGTATTCTGCAGAAGCATGCGAGGACCCATCGTTTCTTGCACCTCCCCATCCTTACCTCCCATCCTTCCCAACCCATCCTCCATCCCTCCCCTTTTTCCTCCTTCCCGCCAGACGGTATGCTGGGGTACGAGAACGCGCTCAAGATAGTGAACACGCCCTTCCCCTTCCCCTTCGCGCAGTGCGTGGCGCTCCTCCTGCACATCAACGCCCTCGTCATCCCGCTGCTCATGGCCGACTGGCTCGCAGACCCGCTCCTAGCCTCCGCCATCACCCTCCTCTCCGTCTTCTCCTTCTACCTTCTCAACGAAGTGGCGAGGGAGATCGAAGAGCCGTTTCGGTTCGACCCGAATGATCTTCCCGTGGTGTATCTGCATCATAAGTTTAATGAGCGGCTTGTGACAGCGTTTTCGAGAAGTGTTTTTCCTGCGGACGGGCTGTTTACGCATATTGACGAGAAGGAAATGGCGTGGCTTTTAGCTAAGCACCGGCCGGTGACAGTGGTGAAGGGAGCGGAGGAGGAGAAGGTGGGAGTGGTTGCTAAAGACTGTGTTATCGATGTGCTGTGCGGCGATGAGCCTGGAGAGAAGGTTCGGGCCGAGGCTGGCTCGGAGGGTGGGTGCTGCGGGGGAGCGCCTGCAGCTGCCACCGCTGCTGCTACTGCTGCTGCAACTGCGACTGCTCAGCAGTTCCTCGCTGCTGCCAGCTCGTGTGTGAGCAGCGTTCGAGAGTCGTTCCCCCGACTACGCTCCACCTGAACCTACCGACCAAGACTCTAGTATGGAGTTTTGAGGCGCCTCAAAAGCCAGCTCGTGTGTGAGCTGAGCAGCGTTCGCGAGTCCTTCCCCCGACTACGCTCCACCTAAGCCACCAACCAATACCATTAACGGCAACGCCTGCTGCTCTACCTTGGAGGCTCCTCCTGAACCAGAAATTGCCTTAGGAAGTGTTCCTGCTCCTGCTGCTGCTCCTGCAAAGCAGCTGGGAGAGGGGCTGGAGCGGCAGGAGCCGCCAACCAAGCAAGCAAGCTAATCGAAGCTAGTGCTAGCTGGTGTAAGGGCAAGATAGGCCGCTGCCTTCAGCAATTTGAAGGCTGTCTGAGCCCTGTAGGGATGGGATATAACCTAGGAGGGTAGGAGCACAGGAAGGGTAGAAGTAGGGACAAGTTAGCAGGGACAATTACCTTCTGTGTCATTCTTCTAATTTATTGGATGATGTATGGAATGGTGAGGTAGGTTAAATCGTCAAAGCGTTCCACGGTAAGAATTATCTCTTTGCACGAATTCAATTTCTTCAGAGCATGTCCTCGACAATGATTTCCTTGCACTATACCGTACTGAATACCGGTACAGTACCGGTAAGTTTCTTCCTGGGAATAACGGGAACACGATGTTCCCTTGTATACATGATATGTAGAGCACACAACCTTCATTTGAACATCCCTTGGGGCATGTAGGGTACTGACAGGAGCAAGGCAATCACCACTGCCCGGATAGAGAAATACATCCCAACTTCCTCTCCCCTCCCTCCCCTCTCCCTGCAATGGTAGGAGGGAGCTGGATGAGGAGATAATTGCTAGTGAATGTGCAGAAGATATGTCAGTTATTGGACAGCTCTTCACTGCGGTCCGCGGCTGCAACCGGTGCATTCACGAGCAGCGGTACCGAATCTGCAGGCGTTTTTCACAGAATACGAAAACCGCATTCACGAGCAGCGACAACTGAACCCCCCCTGTGATCTGACGCGCGAGGCTGGCCGTCAGTTGGACAGCTCTTTGCTGCGATTGGCTGCTGCCACCACGGCATTCATGAGCAGCGATCGGAACCCGCCCCTCTCTAGCTCGTGCAAACCAGCAATGGTGGTGCCTGCATCATAATCGTGGGCGGATGGGAGGGGGAGAGGGAAGGAAAAGGGGGAACGAGGAGAGAGTAATTATCGTGACTCAATTCAAGTGTGAACGTTGACTTTTGAGTCGACTCAAAAGTCAACACGTTGAGTGAGGCACGAGTGGGTGCTCTCGCCACCCGCCCTTCTCAAGCTCATGCAGGCTGGCAATGGCGGTGACTGCATGGTGAAGAGGTGTGGAGAGGTGCGGAGAGGTGTGGAGAGGTGTGGAAGGGTGGGATGAAGGTGGAAGGGTGGAAGAGTGGGCACAGAGTGACAAAGCTGCGTGAGCTGGTGCATGCATAGCACGTGACAAAAGTGTAGTTTATCTCCGTCGACTTTTGATGGTACTCTTGAGAATTCTCAAAAGTACCATCAACGTTGCATGCGTAGCACATGATAAAAGTGTAGTTTATCCCCGCCGACCTTTGAGACGCCTCTCGTGAGACGTCTCGAAACTACACTTTTGTATGGAGTCACGAAGCCACGCTTTTTGGTGCATGCATAACATGGTAGTTCTCTCTGTCACGAGTTCAGATTTGAGTCGACGCAAGGAAGGAGGCCGGGGGTAAAGTACCAGGCACAGAGTGACGATGCTGAGTTGGCGCGTGCACAAAAGGCAAGGGGGTGTGGCAGAGGGGAAAAGAGTGGGCTGAAGAAACGGCAATGTGCGGAGAAAATCAGCGCAGCAGAGTGGTTATCGTGAGCATACCTGCTGGTGATGCGGCGGAGTCTTTAAGTACGCCCGGGTGCTTCTGTGTGTCTATTACCATCTTAGCTGCTCCATACACCTGCCAGGGGAAGAGGGAGAAAGGCCGAAAAAGACACATCAGCCATGGTTTGTCAGCAGGGATTCATTTGCTTCCGCCGGTGCTGTGGAATCGTGAGCTGCTTCAGTTCCCCACCGTCAGCAATCCCTCTCCTGGCCTCTCGTCAACCATCTCACCTCACCTCACCCCACCCCACCACGCCTCACCTCACCCCATTCCACAGCATCGCTCACCGTCTGAGCAGCGAGGGAGAGGGCCACTTTGCGGGGAAGGCCTGCTGCTGTACCCCCATCGGCCAGCGCCTCTATGGCCACAAACACATATGCTGGCCCGCTGCCACTGCAGTCGGGACAACAGGAGAAAGGTGGAAGTGGTAAGTAAGTAGGGATGCGGGCATGTCACATTGTCACCACCAGCATCCGCCAGAGCCTCTATCGCCACAAACACGTATGCTGGCCCGCTGCCACTGCAACGTGGAAAAGGGGATAAGGGGAGAAGAAAAGAACGGGGAAGTGGTAAGCAGGGGTGCAGGGACACTTACCTGAGATTCTGTTGGAATCACCTGAGCCCAGTAACGGCGTCCGGCAGGCGCTCCTCCACCTCATACATATCCTACCTGGCCTCTGTTGAAATCACCTGAGCCCATTAACAGCGTCCAGCAGGCGTTCCTCCACCTCGTACACCTCCCCCACGGTGCCAAACATCGCCCTCACCAGCGCCTCTGTTAGAATCACCTGAGCTCTGTTCGAATCACCTGAGCTCTGTTGAAACCACCTGAGGCTCTGTAGGAATCACCTGAGCCCAGTAACTGCATCGAGCAGGCGCTCCTCCACCTCATAGACCTCCCCCACGGCGCCGAACATGGCCTTCACTAGCTCCGCATCCTCCTCTGTTGCGCTCTCCCCCAAACTCATGGCTGGGTGGGGAAGCAACACAAAGGGCAATGGGGGAATGGGGGGACAAGGGGAAAGAAAGGAGGTGGTTCTGCAGGCGCCTAGACAAACATGGCCTTCACCAGCGCCCCGTCCTGCTCTGTTGCGCTCTTCCCCAGACTCATGGCTGGGTGGGGTAACAAGGGGGGAGATAGGGGGTAACAAGGGGGGGACAAGTGGGAAGAGAGTAGGCGGTTCTGAAGGCGCCCAAACAAACATGGCACTCATTAGCGCCCCGTCCTCCTCTGTTCTGTTGCGCTCTCTCCCACAGGGGGAGATACGGGGCAAGAGGGGGGGAGAGTGGAGGTGGTTCTGGAAGGCGCGGAAACATGGTGGAAGGGGGAAGATGAGGAGGTGGAGGAGGAAAGTACATCATATGGCTAGTTGTTACCAGCACCACGATGCTGTAGGGTTACCACGATGTTTTTTTGAGAATTCTAAAAAATCCCTACGTTACCAGCACCACGTCTCACCAGCAGCAGTGGCGCCGACTAGGCAGGGGGTATTTGGCATGACTCGCACGATCCGCACGCCCTCCCCTGCCCACTGCTGCATCTTGCCAAGTGGCACGCCCGCAGCGATCGACACGATGAGATGGCGCTCCGTCAGCGCGCCCGAGGCCGCCAGGTCAGCGAGAACCGGCTGCACGGCAAACGGCTTGACTGCAATGAAGATGACGTCACTGCTGGCCGCCACCTCCCTGGCATTCTCCTTGGTGTCGATGCCTATGCCCTGGAACACCGCCAGCCTGTCACTGTTGACGTCAGCAGCTGCCATGTCAGCATAGTCCACCACGCCCGCCGAGCTCAGTCCCCGCGCCAGCGCCTCCGCCATCTGCCCCGCCCCTGGCGTGGGGAAGGGGGAATGAGGGGAGGAGGAAGGGGAAGGAGAGGCGGAGGGGAGGGCATGTGACCCGCCTCAAAGCCGCGCTCAGCCCCCGCGCCAGCGCCGACCGCCATCTGCCCCGCCCCTGGAGTAGGGGATGAGGGGGAGGGGGAAGGGGAGGGGAAGGGAGGGGATGGGAGGGGAGGCGAGGGGAGAGGAGAAACTGGGAAGAAAGCGAATGGGGACTGGGAAGGAAACCACAACACACGTTGGGGTAAAGAAAGAAAAAAAAAAAGCGACTCCAATCAGGTTACAAAACGCGTTGGTGCTTGCCTATAAACCCGAGCCGCACTCTTTTCTCCGCAACTCCCGCCTCATTCTCCGCCTGCTCCCGCGCTGCATTCTCGTCCGCGGAGCTGGCGCGCGCTACCGCCACGCCCGACGACCCCCTGCGCGGATTTGCGGAGGCGAGACTCGGCGCGCTTTGCGGCCCGAGGCCGCGCCCCACCAGGGGGTTCCACGCTCCCAGGCGCGAAGATTCCGCGAAATTGGGTGCCGGGCGCGCGGTACATTTGGAGTGGTTGAAAATAGTAGTCGACAGGGGCCGAGACGCGGTAAATGGCTGAGCGAGCCATGGTTGCTGTAGGGCGCGCTTCGAGGAATCGCGAATGCGGAGCGGGAGAGTAGCCGCGCGAGGCGGGAGCAGGTAGCGGACATGGCGGGGGGACGGTGGCGACTGTGAGGTGGGTTTCAAAAATGCGGACAGAGAGAACAACCGGAGGCGACACGTCAGCTCAGCCGCCTCAGCTGTAGCCAGAGGGATTCAGCTGTGCTGACGTGTGTTGGAAATGCCTCGTGATGAAAAGTGGCGAGCTGATGAACCCACGTGGTATTGTTGCGAGTGGTGTGTGGATGCTGGGACGGACCGACATCAACCGATGTGAACCGAACCAATGGTGCATGAGTTCCATAACCCTTGTAAGGTAAAAATCTCCCACTTTATGTGTTCCGCTCAACTCATTGCCGCCTCCTTTACCGCGTACAAGCGAACAAGGGCTATTTTGCACCGCTCATAAGTTTTTTACTATATCGTACGAGTTTTCTACGATTTTCTTCCACGTTTACCACACGGTAATCGAGAAGCTTCCACAAATCCATTCACCGCTCCACCCGGCTGCGCTCCGCAGCCCGCTGCCCCCGCGCCTGGAGTCGCGTAGCGTGCCGTAGAAGATCTTCCCCAGTTTCCTACCCTCCTCCCCCCGTTCCCATCCCTCCCATCCACGTGTGTCTCCCCCGCCCCGATTTCCAAACCAACCGCCAACACCACCGAACTTGTCGCGCCCTTCCACCTGTGCGCGTTTGAGCCAACCTGGCAGGCTTGTGCTGTACCGAATCCCGACATTGACTCACTCGCTGCGCCCCATAAACCGACCGACCAACTTTTTGAGATGTGTCCAAACCGAATGCTCACTTTCGTTCGTTATTTTACCCAACCGTTCTATATTGCATTCGACAGCTTCAAAACGTGAAGATCGCATTGAGCCGGTCTTCGCGGGGACACCCTTACCTTTCAGCCCTGACTGTGGCGCGCCTCCGAGTACACAGGTTTGGTCCGCATGTCACGCACCCCCAGGAGCCAGCAGCACGCGACATAAGGCACAGCCCAGCAGACCCGTCGATCACAAGCGGAGTATTTAGCACGTCTGGTGCCACTAAATAACTTCACCAAATCTTTCTTCTAACAACTCATTCTGCAAACCACTCCGCAGTTCAGATCTCCAAGGTTATCCGAGCACAGATCAGTCACACTATCTGCGTACGTGGTTCTGCAGCGCTCTCAGCAGTCACTCGCTCGCCTGCGCATTTCAGACCTCAGTACCGTCTATCAACTCTCTCCTCATTCTCACAATGACGCGCTTCGCTCTAGTCGTCGCCATGCTCCCGCTCGTCCTGCTCCTTCTCGGATCGTCACAGCCCGCCAGAATGCTCGCATCCGCGGAATCCGCGCACCAATCATCTGATGTGTTCGCTTCCGGCGTAGATTCGACGTTGGAAAGAGAGCTATCATCGGCGGGACTCACGGGATTCGCGAGCCTGCTTAAGCACGCCGGGCTCATTCCAGAGCTCGAACTCCGCGTGCGATTCGGATCCGCCCTGACCGTGTTTGCGCCGACCAACGTCGCGCTCATGCGCGCAGACCCCGCGCTCCTCGCGTTCCTGAAGCTTCCGCGCAACGCCGAGCTGCTCCGCGACGTGCTCCTGTACCACGTGGTCGCGCGGCCCGTGTCCGCGTTCGCGTGGGAAGGCTCGTACGAGACTCTCCAGGGCGCGCCGATCGCGCTCCACGTCGACGCGCTGGCGTTTCAGGTTGGCGGAACCAGCGTGAAGCAATACCGCGCGCTCACGCTCTCCTTGACTCCCCTCTCCCCCGACGAGCACCTTTCTGGTAAAGCCGCAGATTCCACCGCCGCGTCCGCGCAACTAAGCGCCGGGGACACGGGGAGCAGCACGGTCGTGGTTCACACCGTCAACGCGCTTCTCCTGCCTCCCTCCGTCGACGAGCTTCTCTCTCTCACCGCCGGTGATCTCTCTATCGTTGGCGGGATGGGCGAAGGCGGACGGCAACTCGCCGAATCGTCGGGGTTCGCTAGCGCTTCAGCGTCTGCTCCCAGCGCGTCGCCCCCCCCACCGGTCCTGCCGTCCCCTCCTCCCCCGACCCCTTCTTCCCCTCCGCCTCCGCCTCCACCTAAGAGCGGTGCGCATGCGCGGAACTTATGGCAGCTGTTTCCTTCCGTCGCCTTGGCTGTCGTCGTCGTCGTTGCGTTGTTTTGAGGGGGGCAGCGAGCCGAAATGTGGAGGCTCTGGCGAAATCTAATTAGGTTTCGGCGACATTTAGATAGGCGTAACTTATACGACCTTATACTGTGCAGTGTACAACCTGACTAAATTAGGTTTTCCTAACACTGTTCACAAGCTGTTCGTCCATATAATGTACAGAGCACGTTCATGCTGCTCACTGATGAATCCGAGCCGCACTCTTTCTACGCGACCCCCGCCTCATTCTCCGCCTGCTCCCGCGCTGCATTCTCGTCCGCGGAGCTGGCGCGCGCTACCGCCACGCCCGACGACACCCTGCGCGGATTCGCGGAAGCGAGACTCGGCGCGCTTAGCGGTCCCAAGTCACGCCCCACCAGGGGATTCCACGCTCGCGGGAGCGAAGGTTTCGCGAAATGGGATGCTGCGCGCGCGGTAGACTTGCTGTAGTTGAAAATAGTCAACAGGGACCAAGTTGAGGTAAAATGGCTGACCGAGCCATAGCTATTGTAGGACGCTCTTCGAGGAATTGCGAATGCGGAGCGGGAAAGTAGCCGTGCGAGGCGGGAGCACTTAGCGGACATACGGTAACGGGGGACCTGGGGGGAGGGTGACGGAGAGAATTACTGTAGAACCATGTTCGGTGATTCTTTCTTACTCGCGTGGCCTCGAATTACTCGAGTGGCCACCAAATTTGGTGATAATTACTCGAGTGGCCACGCCAGGGGATTCCCGCTGGTTTTGTTTTTACCCGGCGCATTACCCTACAAGGGTTTGTAACCCCCAAACCTCTGTACTGTTTAATGCGCGATCTTCAATATCCTAAATTTATGATCGTGACCCCATATGACCGCGCCTGATTGGACGCGCATTGCAAAACAAAGAACTGCGCATATAATCGACCAATCATGCGCGGTCATTAAAGGTCCCGCGCATTGACGCCCGGGCATTGCAGTTTATGATCGCGGAAATATATGATCGGGCATTAATATATGATGTGCCCGACCATTAATGACCGCGCATGATTGGTCGACTATATGCGCGTCCAATCAGGCGCGGTCATATAGAGTCACGAACATAAATTTAGAATATAAATCCATCACGCGAAACATCAATTATAAATCATCGTGTCAATTGAAAATCGTGCAATTATCAATACAGAGGTATCGGGGATACGAACCCTTGTAGGGTAATGCGCCGGGAAAAAAAAGCCAGCGGGAATCCCCTAGCGTGGCCTTTCGAGTAATTATCACCAAATTTGGTGGCCACTCGAGTAATTCGAGGCCACGCGAGTAAGGATGAATCGCCGATCCAGGTTCTACAGTGATTCTCTCGTTGGATGCTGGAACTGACCGACATAAACCGATGGAACCCGAAACAGTGATGCAAGAGTTCCAGTTCCATAACCCTTGTACGAAAAAGGGTACAAACTATTAGCATTGTTTTGACATATGACCGCCTCTTTTACCGCGTACAAGCGAACAGGGGCTGTTTTGCACCTCTTATAAGATTTCTACTGCTATCGTACGGAATTCCTACGATTTTCTTCTACGTTTGGCACACAGTAAACCAGAAGCTTCTACAAATTCATTCACCGCTCCATTTGACTGCGCCCGCTGCCCTGGCGCCTGGAGTCGCGTGTCGTGCCGTAGAAGGTCTTCCCCTGTTTCCTACCTCCCCCTCCTCGTTCCCAGCTCTATCCCCCCGAACCAACCGCCAAGCCAACACCACCGAACTTGTCGCGCCCTCCCAGCTTTGCGCATTTGAGCGAACCTGACAGGCTTGTGCAGTACCCATTCCCGACATTGATCACCCGCTGCGCCCCATAAACCAACCGACCCAACTTTGAGATATGTGCAATCCGAATTGGCTTTTTCGCGCATTACTTTACCCAACCGTTCTAGATTGCATTCGAAAGCTTAAAAACGTGAAGATCGCAGTGAGCCGGTCTTCGCCACAACACCCTTACCTTTCAGCCCCCGACTGTGGCGCGCCTCCGAGTACACAGTTTTGGTCCGCACGTCACGCATCCACAGCAGCCAGCAGCACGCGACACAAGGCACAGCCCCGACCAGACCCATATTGCAAGCAAAGTATTTAGTACGTCTGCTGCCACTAAACAGCTTCAACAAATCCTACTTCTAACAACTTGTTCTGCAAACCACTCCGCAGTCTAAAACTCCGTGGTTAATCAAGCACAGATCAGTCACATTATCTGCGGTCGTGGTTCTGCAACGCTCTCAGCAGTCACTCACTCGCCTGCGCATTTCAGATCTCAGCACCGTCGATCAACTCTCCCCTCATTCACACAATGACGCGCTTCGCTCTATTCGTCGCCATGCTCCCGCTCGTCCTGCTCCTTCTCGGCTCGTCACAACCCGCCGCGATGCTCGCATCCGCGGAATCCGCTAACGGATCACACGCGTTCGCTTCTGGCGTAGATTCGACGGTGGAAAGAGAGCTGTCGTCGGCGGGACTCACGGGATTCTCGAGCCTGCTCAAGCACGCGGGACTCATGCCAGAGCTCGAACTCCGCGCGCGATTCGGATCCGCGCTGACCGTGTTCGCACCGACGAACGTCGCGCTCATGCGCGCGGACCCCGCGCTCCTCGCGTTTCTCAAGCTTCCGCGCAACGCCGCGCTGCTCCGCGACGTCCTCCTGTACCACGTGGTCGCGCGCCCCGTGTCCGCGTTCGCGTGGGAAGGCTCGTACGAGACGATGCAAGGCGCGCCGATCGCGCTCCACGTGGACGCGCTAGCGTTCCAGGTGGGCGGAACCAGCGTGAAGCAGTACCGCGCGCTCACGCTCTCCTTGACTCCCCTCGCCAGTGACGAGCGAATTTCCGCCTCCGCCGGGGAAGGCGCGGATTCCGCTTCCGCCTCCGCCGCCGCCGGCGCGTCCGCGCAACTAATAGACGCCGCCGGGGGGAGCAGCACGGTCGTGGTTCACACCATCAACGCGCTTCTCCTGCCTCCCTCCGTCGACGAATTGCTCTCTCTCACCGCCGGTGATCTCTCTATCGCCGCCGGGATGGGCGAAGGCGGACGGCAACTAGCTGAATCGTCGGGGTTCGCTAGCGCTTCGGCGTCTGCTCCCAGCGCGTCGCCTCCCTCATCGGTCCTAACGTCCACTCCTCCCCCAACCCCTTCTTCCCTTCCGCCTCCACCTCCACCTAAGAGCGGTGCGCGTACGCGGAGCTTATGGCAGTTGTTTCCTTCCGTCGCCTTGGCTGTCGTCGTCGTCGTTGCGTTGTTCTGAAGGGGGCATCGAGCCGAAATGTGGAGGCTCTGATGAAATCTAACAAGCTAAGTTTCAAAATTTAGTTAGGCGTAACTTATACGACGACCTCATACTGTGCAGTGTACAACCTGGAAACTGAATTAGGTTTCCCTAACATTGTTCACAAGGTGTTTATCCATATGAGTTGGAAAGTTCTGTTTGCAAGATTGTACATTCAGCACAAATCACGAGCATGAACAAAGTGTCAGCGTGTTGAACCAGCGGGACCTTATAACGGAGTCGAGATTCCCCAGGCACACAGTCATCGCCCGACCCTTGGTAAAAATAGTTGTCACAATACTCCGTTTGTTGCTTTGAATACATATCCCAGGCACGCTAGCAGCCTCACCTGGCTCTTTAGACAGTGGCTGTTACGTCAAGTCCTACTCTCGTCTGTGCTCTAACGGTCTTATCGTTGGGCAGGTTTCGCTCACCTTTTCCGCGACGTACTGTGTAGGGTGTTCAAGAAACCGTAGGCTTCACTTTCGCCGTTAGTTCACGAAGCCGCGTCACGACCAACAGTGCTTCTGTAGCGCCAATTTGATTTAGTCGACGAAACCGTAGGCTTCCGTATTTTCTCCGTCGTGCTTACGTCTTTCGCGGAGGTTTATACCAAGGAAGGGGGTCGGGGAAGGCTAATAGCAAGCAAGAGATTACAGCATGGTGTGCGATAAATGTGAGTTACGCACTTTTTCAGGCCCTTCATCTTCTGAAGCTTCCGCGTCGTCTCTACCATCTCTGCGTATCCGTCTCCGCCCCTCTTCGTCCTTACTTTGAAGCCAGCAGGAGCGTCGAGTCGGCAGGAGCGTTGAGTCGGCAGGAGCGTCGAGTCGGCAGGAGCGTTGAGTCGGCAGGAGCGTTGAGTCGGCAGGAGCGTCGAGTCGGCAGGAGCGTTGAGTCGGCAGGAGCGTCGAGTCGGCAGGAGCGTTGAGTCGGCAGGAGCGTCGAGTCGGCAAGAGCGTTGAGGCTGACAAGTAAAAGGTTGGAAGTGGCTTCGATAGATTTCCAAGCTTTTTTTCCCCATGCTGGCGCCCAGCAGGTGCGAAGAAGCTGTCAAAGGTGATTGTGGTGGCTTCGGATTAATTCTCAAAAGACAGGTGGAAACCTAGGGGTGGCTTTTAAACTCTCTCTGTCATTCCTCCCCATGCTGGCGCCCGGCAGGTGCGAAGAAGCTGTCAAAGGTGATTGTGCCGGACAAGTGGAAGGAGGGAGCTTCAAACACCACTGAGAGTGGCGGCAGGAAGACAGCTGAATGGAGACGCTATTCTCAGGAATCCTGACGTGTTTTAAGATTTCCTCCCCATGCTGGCAGGTGCAAAGAAGCTGTCAAAGGTGATAGTGCCGGACAAGTGGAAGGAGGGGGCGTCCAACACCACTGAGAGCGGCGGCAGAAAGATCAACGAGAACAAGCTGCTGTCCAAGAAGAAAAGGTACATTGGGATACACCGATCGGTAATATTATCATATTTTTTGTAGTAACATATAATAGTAATTTCAATTCTATGTGTATTATCAGAGAATCACACCTGCCTCATCGGTATGCTGCACCAATGTGTCTTTTCCTCTTTTTTTTGTGAAAATCATTACCACCACCTTTTTCCCTTTCTACCGTAGGTTCATGCACCTCTCAACTCCCTCTTGCTCTCATCCCATCAGTCCTTTCCCCTTCCCACCCTGGCCTTCCCAAACATGGGTCCCTCGCACGAGCAGGTACACTCCGTATGCATCATCAGCATCTTTCAAGTGCATCATCTGCAAGCAGCAACTGCACCAGGAGGGAAAGTACTGCCACCTATGCTCATATAAAAAGGGTAAGCAGGTGTATTGTATTCCATGTTCGTTATCAGCATCTGTTACCGTAAGTGCATTATTTGCAAGCAGCAGCTGCACCAGGAGGGAGGGACCTATGCTCTCGTAAGAAAGGTACGTGTATGATTTCTCTCAATCACGGTACGCTTCTAGATTGCTACGTCAATAATTGAATCTGCTTAATGTAAATTTCTCGCGCAATATTATGGCTCCTTTGACTCCTCCCGTCCACTATATCAATTCATGGTGCATGTTTTGATGTTACGTCGGCCACATGTAGCGGTAGCAGGTCTGAGTCGGCTCCCTCTTGCCGCACCCCTCCCCCCCTCCACCCCACTCCCCCGCCCAGGTGTGTGTGCCATGTGTGGCAAGCAGGTACTCGATACCTCCATGTACAAACAATCAGCAGTTTGACTGAACTAATGAGCTGAACTGCGTTATCCTTGTTATGAGCAGCCCATTCAATCGTCTATACATGGTAAGCGTAGTTTTCCCTTTTGAGTGAAAGGCAATGTACAGGTCCTGGTATAGCAACGTAAATAACGGAGTGTAGTCATGACACATCCATGACTCATTATTGATATTTTTGCTCAACGACGCAGCTACGCACCCCAACCAGGCTGTACCAGGGACCAATATTAGGTCAGAGTAGAATAGCCCGCCTATGCATGCGTGTTTGGTGGGTGAACCCTCAAGCCCAGAGTGCAGTGACTGCAAGAAAGAGCACCCCAGCGAGACCAAAGCAGAATGTGACAATGGCTGCCACAGCCTGGCCTCGGGACTTGAACAGGCCCGTGGGGGAGGAGAGAGCCGCTATACCTCTTTCCATGAAGGGCGCTAGCATCAGTGCCCTGTGGGAAGGGGTGGGGTTGAGGGATGGAGTGAGGCGCCAGTGAGTGAACTGAACACTGTTCTGGAGCAGGGGAGCAGAGCAATGAAGGACAGAGCGGTGGCCATTTGCATGCATGGGCAGAGTGCATGGAGCTGGCATCAGTGTTATGGGATGGATGGATGGAGAGATGGATGGATCTGGCAGTAGATTCAATTTCACCTGCCCGCATAAATTCAATTTCACCTGCCCGCATGGACGATTTAAACAATCTAACTGCCCACCCACACCATGGCTAATGACTCAATTCAACATCCTGATTTTAGGTTTACTCAGCAAATCATAAATTCGCATTCTAAATTCTTACCCGCCTGCTCGCACGAGCTTGGTAACCTGACTGCCCCCCCACACCACAGCAAGTCACCCAGTCAGCTTCTTGTTTCTTAGCACTCTCAAGCAATATCAAGCAATATCAAGCACTATCAAGCATCATGCACTATCAAGTATTTCATTTCTCACCCGCCTGCGCGCACAAGCTTGGTGACCTGACTGCCCGCCCACACCACCGCAAAGACCTTGAGAAAGCTGAGGAGGGAGAGGAAGGGTGGATAAGGGTTGGGGAAAGAGGGGAAAGGAACATGGGGAGTCTATTTTTCAAGCGCGTCAAATAGACTATTCGGATGAGCTTGGTGACCTGACTGGCCGCCCACACCACTGCAAATACCTTGAGGAAACTGTGGAGGGAGAGGAAGGGTAGATAAGGGTGGGAGGAACGAGAGGAGAGGGAAGAGAGGAGAGAGAAGAGGGGAGCAGGAAGAAGGGAGAGGGAAGAGGGGAGGTGGAGGGGAGAGGAAAGAGGCGTGGAACAGGTGCTGGATGGTGGGTGCAAATGGCGTATGACAATCGAAATCCCTCACATGCTTCACCTCACCCCCACTCACACGTTAACCCACACACATGCTTCACCTCACCCCCACTCACACGTTAACCCACACACATGCTTCACCTCACCCCCACTCACACGTTAACCCACCCACCCACACACTACCCCGCGTAGTGCTGCTGGTCATCGTCTAAACAATCCCTTGCTCTCTCCCCACCATAGATGTTGTTGCACCCTTGCACGCCCTCGATGATTCCCAGCCCTCGATGATTCCCAGCCCTCGATGATTCCCAGCCCTCGATGATTCCCAGCCCTCGATGATTCCCAGCCCTCGATGATTCCCAGCCCTCGATGATTCCCAGCCCTCGATGATTCCCAGCCCTCGATGATTCCCAGCCCTCGATAAATTTCAGCCCTCGAAACAGAGCACTCACTTCTTTGCAGGGACAGGGGACGGGGCCACATGGAATATCATTTTGTGAGGCTAACACAACGCTTTCACATGGAATATCATTTTGGTCCTCGTCTGTTGTTAGGCTGTTAGGCCGGGCACAAAGCACCTGGTCAGACAACAACAGAGCACTCACTTCTTCGCCGCTGCTGCGAGCGAAGCCCAAGCCTCGTGGGGATGGGGCCACGCAGAGCAATACTTAGTTGGGCAAACCCTTTCCTGTGCTGTTGCTGGTCCTCGCCTGTTGTTAGGCTGCTAGGCAAGGCACTCACTTCCTTGCTGCTGCTGCGAAGCCCAAGCCTCGTGGGGATGGGGCCGCGTAGAGACTGCACATTCACGCACATGGACACATACAGAGAGAGAGGGGGGGGAAGGGGTGGAGGGATAATTGGGAGCAGATGGTGACAAGGACGGTAAGGGAGGGGTATAGACGGCTTCAGTTTGGACTCAAAAGAAGAAAGAGTGAAAGTGAGGGGAGAGGCGTGAGGGAACGTGGCGGGGTTGAGGAGTAATAGGGGGGAGGGAGGGACACCGCACGTGAGATTTGGGACTTATTTGAATGCGGGATGCTATATGTTCAACTCACAATACGAAGAGGAAGGCGAAAATGTAGTAGACTGTATTGAAGAGGCCATAAGAGAGGACGCCAGCCACACCAAACGACTGCAGCTTTTCGAGCACCCTGGGGACCGTTGATTGGCGGAGAGAGAGAGGAGAAAGAACACGATTGAGAGACGAAAGAAATTTACTGTACCTGCTGCACGAGGTGGCAAAAATGAGAGTGATGAGGGGAAAAAGGAGATGCTTAAAACTTTCCTATTTCTTAAGGTTGTGAAGGTTCCATGAAGCTTCTCACCAGGCGCGAACTCACTCGACCGTCTTCGCCTTGTTCCGCTGCAGCATCTCCCCGACCGGCCCTAGAAACGAAGCTTCCGGGGTGTTTCCAACCGCCGGGGAAGCCGCGAGATGTTCGGAGGAGGGGTTAGTTTCCTTGCTGCTTCCGCTGGTGCCGCCACTCCTATTATCGCTTCCACCATTCGTAGTATCTACTCCACTGTAGTCAGTGGCACCGTTATTATCACCGTGAATACTCGCCAGAACAGCTGTTTCGCTGCGTTTCACAATCCCCTGGCTGCTGGCAGTGCTCCTGCGGTTCCTGCTAACTCTGTTCAACGCGGGCGAGGCTCTTCGTCGCAGCAGACTCGGCGAACATCTGTGCGACGAGTTGAAACCACTCGACGATTTCGCGAATCCAGGCGACAACTCCGAGAGTGCGCTGTCGCGGCGAAACGCAGCCAGCGGTTGCAACGCTCGGCGCGGAATGTGCGCTGCGCATTGCGTCAATGAAAGCGACTGCCGCGAAACCGTGTCCATGGCGGATGGCCGTTGACTCTTTTGACTCGTTGACTCCTGTACAGAAACTGACAGGTAGTAGAACCTAAAAGGCGTTCTCACCGCCGTAAAACACGGAGAGATGCACCTGAAAATTGTCGTGATGTGTTGATGCGGCCACATGGCCAAGGAAGGAAGATGGAAACTGGAATATACGCGATATGAGGCAATTTCTGTTCGCGAACACGTCGGCAATTGTAACGCGAATATGGTGCATGATATTTCTGTATGTGCTGATGAGCTCGTTTGTGAAAAGATAGTTCAGCAATAGCCAGCTTCAACAATTACTGTCCGACTACACACATTGACACATCCGCTATAAACATATCTATTCGTACATAACAAACCCTGGCACCAAATGTTTCCCTACAGTTTGTTTCTCTTCCGTACACCCAGTGCCAAAGCCACACCCACCACCACAAACCCTACAGGCACAAGCAGCTGCCAGTACCTTCCGATCCCCCCAGACCCCCCACCACCACCACCACCACCACTATCACCACTAGCACCACCACCATTCGGAACATTGCGAGCCTCTCGAGTGCGGTGAGATGAACCAGTGCCGGCAGCATCTCTGCTGGTTCTGGGAGTGGCAGCATGGAGTGATGGTTGCAAGAGGTGCTGCTGCTGGTGGGCTGCTTGCTCTCTCTTTCGCACGTACTTGCTGCAGATGTCACACGGGTCTGTACGGCTGCCACACACGTCCTGCAGGGGAGCGAGAGAGAGCATGTGCAATGCAATGCATGTAAGTTGATATGATACAAGCTGGGTGACAAAAGTGTTGTTTTGAGACGTCTCAAAATGTCCAATGCAATGCATGTAAGTTGATGTGATACAAGCCGGTGTACTCGCTGCGCATGTCACACAGGTCCGTATGGCTGCCACACACGTCCTGCAGGGGAGAGATGGGAAGGCGGCGAGAGTGTGTACGAGGAGACACACACGGAAGCGATGTGAAAAGGGTAACTGTGAAGTGGGGCAACCGGTGCACTTCCTGCACATGCCACTTTTGAGTCGACTCAAAAGTCTCCTCATGGGGGAATGGCGGCATAATTCTGTTTTTGAGGCGCCTCAAAAGATCCTGTGATATCTTTTTAGTCTACTCAAAACGTGACTTCTGAGTCGACTGAAAAAACAGCCTGGTGAGTACTTTCACCACACGTCACACCAGTCCATGCGGCTCCGACACACGTCCCGTGAACAGTGGGAAGAGGGAGAGTGTGTATGTGCATAGAAACATATGGGAGCGCTGTGAGATATACCTGATCTGCCGGCGCTGGGAGCGGCAGCATGGAGCGATGGGCACACGTCGTCTTACAGCGTGAGATTGGAGGTCCATGGCGGCGACAGGGAGGTCACAGTAGGGGCATATCAGGGAGCGCAGGGGGCAGGCAGAGCGCAAGGCGCAGGAGGCAAGAAGCATGCCTCTATCGTCGACTCAACAAGAATATCCTTACAGCGTGAGATTGGAGGTCCATGGCGGTGACAGGGAGGTCACAGTAGGGGCATATCAGGGAGCGCAGGGGGCATGCTGACGACTCGTGCTCTGGCAGTAGCCGCCGCTCCATGGGCTCTCCACACAGGGAGCAGGGCGCCTGAGGAAGAGGAAGGGTGAGGGGGGGGGGGGGGGTACAGGGAAGAGGGAAAATGAGAGAGAACTGACAGGCCCTTTTGACAAGGCCAGCTGATGCCTCGTGCTCTGGTAGAAGCTGCCGCTCAATGGGCTCTCCACACAGGGCGCAGGGCGCCTGAGGAAGAGGTGGTGGGGAAGGTGGAGGAATGGGGAAGATGGGTCAAGATAACGATGGGTGCGTGCATGGGTGCATGGGGTGCAGTGACCACCATCTCATTGCAACTGTCAACTTGGACCCAACATGCCCGTACTTACAGGAGCGTGCACGGCTGCCACGTGTTGGTCCATGGCGGCAGTGGCCTGGCCACCATCTCGTCAAGCACAAAGGGGCCGCTACCAGCCTGAGCGGTTCTGCCCGTACTTACAGGAGCGTGCACGGCTAATATATGTTGATCCATGGCGGCAGTGGCCACCATCTCGTTGCACCCCATTGCACCGCACACAATGTGTCACAACCCACCCGTGCCGGTGCTCACTGGGGCGTGCACAGCTGCCACGTGTTGGTCCATGGCGGCAGTGGCCACCATCTCATCGCACCCGTCTACTTAAGCACAAAGTGCCATGCCGCTACTCACTGGAGCGGTGCTGTCAGCACTTACAGGGGCGTGCACGGCTGATATGTGTTGATCCATGGCGGCAACGGCCACCATCTCGTCACACCCCATTGCACCGCACACAAAGTGTCACAACCCACCTGCAAAGTGCCAGCAGCACTCACAGGGGCGTGCACGGCTGCAATATGTTGGTCCATGGCGGCAGAGGCCACCATCTCATCGCACCCCATTGCACCGCACACAAAGTGTCACAACCCACCCGCAAAGTGCCAGCAGCACTCACAGGGGCGTGCACGGCTGCAATATGTTGGTCCATGGCGGCAGAGGCCACCATCTCATCGCACCCGTCACAGCGCACGAGGCGCGTCTCGCAGTGCGCCGCGTGCAGCGGTAGGTTGGCGACGGGGATGGGACGAGCGCTGAGGAACGGAATGGAAGCGACGGGATGGGAAGGGACGGGAATGGGGTTGGCGACATGGACGACACGTAGGGACGAGCAGGAATACATGGTTGAACAGTCCATTATGAGACCTCATGAAACATTTTTTGAGGCGCCTAAAAAACATACGTGGACGACACGCAGGGACGACCAGGAATGACACAGTTGAAAAAACTCATTCTATGAGACCTCATGGAACTAGATTACACTGTACGACACGGATTAAAATACCGAGTGTGCGCGACGCACCCGGAGAAAACGAGGGCCTAGACTTTACCAGTTATCACAAATCTCGAATTCTGAGGCAGCCATGGCTTCGACGGAAAGCCGCAATCAACGTCACGCCGAAACAGTAAGATACCGAAACAATGTTGTCGTTCTATTTCACCTTCTAATAGACGTCGACCCAAGCTAACCTACTCGACGGAAAGCGAGGAGGAACCCTCCTAATTCGCTACATAACTGTCCTCTGTGATGGTCGCTTTGAGACGTCTCAATGCTTGACGGAAAGACGAAGGAAACCGCTACGTGGCCGTCAAAGCCGCTACGTGGCCGTCAAAACCGCTACGTGGCTGTTAAAAACCCCTACGTGGCCGTCTATCTGTGAGCCGTCCGCGTGTGACACGTTTCGAGGTCGGTGGAGCTGCGGCGGAGCGCGAGGCGAGCAAGAGATGTAAGACTGACATTAGTGAGCTTTAGAAACTAAAGCCTGAAGTCCGTCAGGCGAGTGGCAGGGATGCAAGGCGACGGAAAAACGCTTCGCGAAAGTCAGATGGTAACATTTACTGATCTTAGTAACTCGGAAGTAACTTGTAACAATTGCTATACTATGATATTGTTTCCCCAACCAGCCGGTGAGCATCCTATGAAGCTAAAATTTCAGCCAGGGTTATTGCTAATTCAGGAAATGCGTTATTGTTGTTTCTCATTCCAGCTCCTTCCTCCATACTTTCAAAATGTCCCAAGCAGATGGCTCGTCCACCCGATCTCCCTCCCCTCTTTGCCATCCTCTTCCCACTCTCTCTCCCCCCTCCCTAGCCGTACCCCCTACAGAGTCACTCAATTCCAGCTCATCGTACTCAACCTTCACACCTGCTGCCTCGGCCCGAGCCAGCACCTCCCGAGCCTCAGCTCCCATCCCCAGCCTGACGGTCCGGTGCAGCAGGCTGGTGTATATGCCGGCGTCTGCCACCCACCCTTCCTTCTCCATCCGGTCGACCAATCGCAACGCCACTCGAACCTCCTCCGTCTTCCCCCCTATAAGCAGCCCCCTTACAAGGTCGGCCAGCACACCAGGGTCCACCGCAGGAGAGGATGCAGGGTAGGCTTCAAGGGAAGCAGGAGATGCAGCACTGCCAGCAGCACCAGCGTCACCAGTAGCACCAGCAGCATTAGCAACACCACTTGCAACAGCAGCAGCAGCACCAACAGAATCCCTCTCTGTTGGCTCTCCCTGTAACCTGGCTGATTCAACGCCTGATGACTCAGCAAACCCTGACTCCACAAATGCTGAATCAGCACCTGCGGCAATCCCAGATCTGCCTCCTCCACTTACCACCTCCCCGTTTACCATCCCGCCTTCCAAACCCATCCCCTCCAAACCTCTCCCCTCCACAGCCCTCCCCCAGGCGTCCATCACTCCCACAGTCTCCTCCACCCCTGCCCCCGTCAGACCGCCGCTCACCGATGCCACTGCATAGCGCCACGCAAAGCCATCCAGTGGCGCATGGGACTCTAGCAGCTCGCGCACCCTCAGCAACACAGGGCTCAGCTCGCCACTGCTGCTGTCCTTGTCAGTCGTGCTGCTGCTGCTGCTGTCTGTGCTGGTGCTCGTGTTGTCAATGGTGCTGGTGCTGCTGGGAATGTCAGCACTGCTGCTTCTCCTGCGGCTGCTGTCTTCACCGCTGTCGTCTGAAATCCCCTGTCTGCTCCTCCCGTCTCCTCTGCTGCTTGCACCAGTTAGTGCCGACAGCAACTCAAGCTGCTGCTGTGCCGCTGCCCTCCTCTGCTCCTCCTCGCTCATGCTCTCACCTGCCCCAGAAGGACTCTCATCCCCACCCTCACTCTCAACCATGCGTTGACTCCCCTCCCTGCCCACACCTCCTGAATCCTCACTCATTGCACAACCGGGGTCCTGCTGGTTGTTAGCAAGCCCAGAAGCCCCCTCAGCTGTCACCCTATCGAGGTGTGGGTCCACATGTGACTGCGACCCCCCGCGCATGGCAAGCAGCAGCTCGTCAGCAATGACTGCCTGTTTGCCCTTGAGAAGCGCGTCCACCACCCACCCGTGCTGCCGCACCTGCAGGGGCCACCCCGCCCGCTGCATGTCTCTTGCCACCTGCCTCACGGCCTGCCACTGCCGGCACCGCACACACGCTCCCAGCATGGCTACGAACGTGTGGCCATTGGGCACCAGTGGAGGATCCTCCCGCCTCCTCCCGAACCACACCTTCTCAACCTCGTTGCCCTCGTCCCTCTCCTCTTTCCCGCTCTCCTCCCTGTTTTGCTCCTCATTCTCCCCACACTTGCTGATCTCCCCAACGCTTGTCATCACCTCCCCAACGGCCTCCACTTCGCCCTCCTCCTCCACATCCTCTTCCTCTTCTTCCTCCTCTCGTGTTCTCCCCTCTCTTTCCTCTTCCCCTGCTTCCCCAACCCCAACCGCATATGCTCCCTCGCCCACCTTTCCTCCTCTCTCCAATTTCCCTGCTCGTATCAGCCTCCTCCTGCTCCTGTTATTAGCCACCAACCGCTGCATCCTAGCCTCCTGCCTCTCCCCTTTGCTCATCCACCTCTTCCTGCCCGTGATTATCGGCTTGCCACCCGACCGGGCAGCTGCGTAAATTTCCTCCACAGCAGCAAACCTGCCCGTGCGGGCAAAAACGGTGATCATGATGTTGCACGTGGTGATGTTGGGTGTGCACCCCTGCTTCTGCATCTTGAGAAACACCTGGGCCGCGTCGGCCAATCGGTTGCTTCGCTCGCATGCACGAATCAGGCCTGTCCACGTCACCACTGCCGGCTGCGCATCCTCGGCCCGAGAAATCTTTTCCACCTGCCCATATCATACGGAATAGCCATAAAACCCAGATTAGCCAGCTACTGTAATTGGTGGATGTAGCGAAACACAGCGTCACGAATGAGCTGGAAAGGTTTCAAACTCACCAGAGCAACAGCATCCTGCCACCGCCCAGCGGAGCAGAGAGCACAGGCGAGGGCGTGGAACACCCCTGCGTTGCCCTCCATCCCTCGCTCCTGCATCTCCCTCACTGCCGCTTCTGCCTCCTCCACCCTCCCTGCGGCCGCCAGCACTCGCACCAGGTCTGTCAAGGGAGTGACGGGGAAGAGAGGCGCAGAACGGAGATGTTCTCATTCTCAGTTGTCCCCGTCACCGGGTCTGAGGGGCACCTTCAACGCTTCTTCATCATTGCTGCTGCTGCCTTTTGAGTCGACTCAAAAGGAGTTGTTCTCATTCTCAGTTGTCCCCATCATTGGGTCTGAGGGGGACCTTCAGCGCATCTTCATCACTGCTGCTGCTGACTTTTGAGTCGACTCAAAAGAGGTGACTTTTGAGTCGACTCAAAAGGAGTTGTTCTCATTCTCAGTTGTCCCCATCATTGGGTCTGAGGGGGACTTTCAACGCATCTTCATCACTGCTGCTGCTGCCTTTTGAGTCGACTCAAAAGAGGTGACTCTTGAGTCGACTCAAAAGGAGATGTTCTCATTCTCAGTTGTCCCCGTCACCGGGTCTGAGGGGGTTTCTTCAACACATCTTCATCACTGCTGCTGCCAGCACCCAAGTTATGCTTCGACTCGCCACCAAAGTCTGGGTGGTAAGTCTGACAATTACCTCGGTAGGTTTGGACGGTGGGAGGGAAGCCAGCAGCCTCCATATCAGCGAGCAGCTGCAGTGCCAGGTGCGTCTGATTGCACAGCGACAGGGCTTGGATGGCCAGCCCAAACGTGGCTGCATCAGGAGCGACCCCCTCGCCGCGCATCTGCTGCAGCACCCACTGCACGCCCTTCCACTGCCGCTTGGCGCCACACGCATTCAGGACCTGCGGGCATGGGGAGAGCGGAGGGGAGTGGGGAAAGTGCACAGCGACAGGGCTTGGATGGCCAGCCTAAAGGTGGCTTCCTCAGGAGCGAGAGGCGGCTGCGTCGGGAGGTACCCCCTCACTGCGCAGCGCATCTGCTGCAGCACCCACTGCACGCCCTTCCACTGCCTCTTCGCTCCACACGCATTCAGGACCTGCGGGCATGGGGAGAGTGTGGCGGAGAGAGGAGAGGGGATGGGAAAGGGCTGAGGAGGACGCACAGACTTTGAGCTCTCTCTAGTGGATTTACGCCGAGTTGTGTGGCAAAAACAAGATCAAAATTGCTGCCTTAGTACTGCGTTCAGATATCCAGCTTAGAGAGGAGCGGGTGCAACACTCACAGCGTTGTACACCACACCACCACATCTGGACCCAGCCAGCTGCTGCCCCCTGCACCCGAACTGAAGGGAGTGGGTGCTTGAGGGTAGGGGGTACCTAATAGGGGCGGTAGATGAGGTTTATGAGGGGCAGCACAGCAGCAGCACTCACAGCGTTGTACACCACCACGTCTGGCGCCAGCCAGCAGCAGCCTGCTGCACCCGACTTAGGGGGGAGTGGGTGGTAAGGCGGTACCTACCAGGGGCGGTGGATGGGGTTCACGAGGGGCAGCAGCACTCACAGCGTTGTACACCACCACGTCTGGCGCCAGCCAGCTGCTCCCTGCTGCACCCGACTTGGAGCCGCTGCTGCTTGTGCTGCTAGCCTCACTGGCAGCACCAGCGCCAGCGCCAGTGCCAGCGCCTCTGCCATCTGTTTCAAGTGGTGCAGTGCGGTTGGTGCGGGTGGGGCCCTCCCTGAGATCCTGCATCAGCTGCTCTGCTCCTCACATGGGGGCGAGAAGGGAAGAGAGGGGCCAGCAGACATGGGTCAGAGTAAGTCTTTTGTTCGTCTGAGCTTGAAACAGCGGAGAGACGAAACTACTGTGAACTAAAGAGCCTCCTCTCAACAGGAAAGGAACAATGAGAATTGACGGCTGAAAGCAGAGACAACTGCACTGAACTGCACTGAACTGAACTGAACTGAACATAGCTGAAGGGTTTAAGATTTCAGGTGTACGAGACTGGAATCAACATTCCCCATGCCCATCCTCTCTCCGCCCACCTGCAGCAGCTCCTGTAAATACCCCGCCCTTCCTAGCGCCACTGCTGCTGCTCTGTAGGCTGGGAGGTCAGGCCACGTGGAGGGTTGCGACTGGTGGAGAGCAGAGAGGGAGAGGAGGCGGTGGATGACAAGGGAGATCAGAGGTTAGGAGAGTAGGGGGTTTGAGAAGGGGTTGTAGGACGGAGAAGGAGTGGGGAACATGAGAATCAACAAGCATGCAGGCACGCATCATCATTAGGTACACGGATTGCAAGTTGCAACACAGCACAGAACTGCACTGCACCACACAGCACTGCACAGCAGGCGCCTTAATGTCGTATGGCTTACAGCAGCAGCACCGCACCCCACCGCACATCACCGCACAACACGTACCATCATGAGTCGCATGGCTTGCAGCACTGCATCGGGGTAGCGCCAGCCCAGTGCAGCGATGAGCGACGTCAGCACCTTCCTGCAGCAGGGGGGGACGTAGGGGGGAAGGAGACAGGAGAAGGGGTAGGTGATCCAGAAGATTCAAGAGACAAGAATCCGAGAATGAACGAGAAGCAGGTGCGGGGAGCAGTTGAACAGAAACGAGCAACAAAGGCACGCCCAGGAAGGCACGGCCAGGAAGGCATGGCCAGGAAGGCATGGCCAGGAAGGCATGGCCAGGGAAGCCGAACCTGAGGGGACCTGTCAGCTTGACTGATATCTCCGCCATTAGTCTGACCTGTCAACGCGTGATTGGTCGCGGCGAGCGGCCCAGTGCACGAGCAGCAGCGCCCTGCGCCAGCTGCCTCTGCTGGCGAGCAGCCGCGCTGCCAACGCCACACGGCGGGCGGAGAGGCGCACCCCCGCGCTGCGCACTGCTCTGGACACGTGGCGCGGGGAGGCGGTCAGGGGAGTGCTTTCCAGCCTGGCATAGGGGGGGTGGGAATGGGAGAGGGAAAGAAGTGGGAGAGGGAGGAGAAGAGGGGAGATAGACTGGAAAGAATTAGTGATGGAAAAAAGGCAGCATCGTAGGTGGGGCATCTGACAATAGTGAGCTGAGCTGTAACTCGGGGTTACGAGAGGCGCACCCCCGCGCTGCGCACTGCCCTGGACACGTGGCGCGGGGAGGCGGTCAGGGGAGTGCTTTCCAGCCTGGCATAGGGGGTTGGGGGTTAGCGGGTTTGGGGAGGAAAGGGACAGGGAGGGAAGGAGGATGGGGGACGAGAAGTGGGGAACGGGGGAGAGAATGTGGAAAGTAATAGTGACAGGAAAAATCCCCTCCTGCCTCATTCCTGACACCCTCACTCCTGGCATTCTCACCCCTGGCGACGCCTCACCTCTCCACCAGACGCTGCAGCACTCGCTCTTCGCCAACCCCAGGGCCTTCCCTCGCCTCCCCCTCCACGTCGGTCGCCTCCGTGGCGTACGCATCGTCAGCATTCCACTCGGTGTAGTCCACGTGGCGATACCTTGTCCAACCGATTTGCCTGGAAACCTGATATGTAAAGTGCAAGTTGGCAAGGGTGAACGAGTAACAGGAGACCCGTTGGGGAAGCAAAAAGGCAGACACGCGACAGAATATGATCAAACAACGTTGTGCATAACAAATGGCACGAAAAGGGTTTGAAGAATTCAGGGTTTACGCGCAAACAAATGAGACAAGTGGAAAGCGATATCCTGGAGCTACATAACGGCGGCTTCTAAAATTACGTGGCATAATCTGTGGGACTCACTCCTTTCGCTGGTTGTGCACAGCATCTTCCTCGATACTCCTTAATCTGACCCTGCTGAGCGTTAAATCCAGTCCGATCCCCGCTGGCCGTTACCACTGAATCACTCCACGTGACGCCGCTCTTCCCTTTACGCAAAATTCCAACCGGAACAATGGCCCCCACGCGGGCGATTCTGAATCGACTCGTCACACTAAGATTCCTCTGAGATAATGTAGAGTTGCTGCTGCTAGCGCCTCCTGCTGCTCTTGTGAACTCGGAGCAATCAGATGATAGATTAAGTGTGCTGCAGGCACTCGGTTTCTGTGGAGTGCTACAAAGAGGGATCATGGCGAGGCGAGCAGTAGCAAAAAGCAACCAATCGCCACCAAAATGCAGTTCTCGGCTGTTGTACTTGCACCTTTTATGATCGGAAAACTAAGTTAGGTGTGCTTTCCGACGCGACGTTTGTCAGTGTAATCTATAAGAACCGTACCTAACCATTTCTTATGATTGTCCAACCTTGATGAACCACACACTGATCTCTCATTGTTGAGATATACAGCTACGAACAGTAATGAAACGTGGTCAAATCCAACGCTCAGTCGACAAACGGTGCTAGCTGGTACCTTCATCTGACATCTTTCTTCTGGTTGGACGACAAACGTCACCCCATATTTACTGTGACGGAGATATGTTCCGTCCGAGCCTCTGTTGGCTTCGAGCATTTGCCTACCGGGCCTCAGAAGATTTTTGGTCTGGTTTCAGTAAACTCGTTCGGCGCATGTGACCCCTGCTGAGCTGTCGTCGGGTCCCCCAATCAGATTTCCCAGCCTCGGCGGGTTGAGGGTTTCCGGCATGTGGGTGACGGAGCGACACGCAGATCTGCCACAATTCAAGGTAGTTCCACGGCGAATAGACCTCCGCCAAAACGCGCCGCGAGTCCCACCTCTCAGATTGGCGGCGGCCAGATTTCTCCCCTGATGCGCTGGCAGACACGCCAAGTGGCACTTGTAGCCTTGGGTTTGACTTGTCGAAAGTTGCTAAAGCAGAAATCGAGGGCGCCGAAGCACTTTCCCAAACCACAATAGTGTGATATCGGCTGTCGAAAAGTCGGAAAGCAATGCTAGCCTTGAACTCTCCGCCATGGCTGACTTACGTGTATCGGAATCCTGCATTTCGTGAAGCCGACTTATCAGTTAACAACGACACTGTTACCAAAAAGCATCGCCATGACTCAAGCATTCAGGAGTTACCACTTTTGTGTCCATCCAACGGACATTGCACCTCCTGTTTCAATGGCTAATCTCGGTGCTGAACTGGCAGTTCCTGATAACATCGCGGCTATTATCGGTCTCGGATTTCCTTCTATAACGCTTTTCCAGTCAAGTGTTCAGGCTTGGGATCTCAATGGTCATACTATTAACACTTTTGACGAAGCGCTTCTCGAGAATGTTTCTAAGGTGTTACACCATCATCCTGGAAAATGGATCTGGGCTAACAAGGATCTACTTAAGCGGTTGCTGTTCAGTCAGGCAGCTCATCAGTTTCCTAGCATCACTGCTATCAACGCTACGCTGCTGCTTTATCATCATCACAGCATGCCGCCTAAAGGATCCAAGGCTACCAAGCTCCCAGTTGACAATGGCCTGGAGAATGGTGACTCCACGGATCTTTCTGCGCCTGACAAGTCACCAATGAAGAATCATGAGAATGTCGACAATGGCAAGCAAGCGGCTCCAGAGGCTGGAAGTTCAGGACTCTCGGTTGCTGAGAAGGCTTCTCTGCTTACCGGTGACCTTCTTGATGATGATCCCGACGATGAGCTTGAGCTTGATGTGAAGCAGGAAGTTCTATCTCGTCTTCGTTTTACCGCGATCCTGTTGGTTCCCTTCATCCTGCAGCTAGAGATGGGTTCAGTTATCGCGGCAGTTAAGACTCTTCTGAAGAGGGTGTGGTCAAAGGACATCTCACCGGAAAGCTCTGCGACCGCGTCGGTTCAAACGCTGCTTCCTGCTTTCGTCGCGAAGACGAAGTTCTGTCGCCTCCAGATTTCGCTCCTGCATGAGGCCGACATTAACATCGTCCGTCAGAAGGAAGTGGACTATCGGAAGGCGAACGGTTCAGGCAACACTGTCAAATGCTACTGGCAGCACACAGAGGACTCTGGTTTCCTCAGGGAGAAATCGCTTAACCCGCTGGCTATTGAGGTTGTTTTCAAAAATGTACCTGCTAACATTTCTCCTGATCTGCTGAAGGATTTGCTGTCTCGCTACAAGTTGAAGATCCGCCAGCAGCCACCGTTCCTGGAAGGGAAGCACTTCCATCGCGTCCTGCATCCTGTGACGGGAGCTGACACTGAGACAGTTAAGGGTCTGGTTATTCCGCATCCGGGAGATGGACACAAATGGAGACAGGTGGTGAACATCCCTGTGGACGGCGGAAGGAAGATCCTGGTCCACTACCCCTTGCTGTCCTGCTCTCTCTGCGGAGGACATCATTATGAGTCAAATCATGATATGTTCGTTACGGAGAGGCAGAACAACATAGGGAAGTGGCACCTTACTCTGGGGAGGGTGCATAGTATTAATGGTAACTGTGTGATTAACCCGCATCTTCAAAGCTCACTTCCGCTTTTACCTCTTATTGTGCCAGCTGATCTTACTATTGCTCGGATCCGCTGTGGCAGCTGCCTCTCTGCGCACCTCTCCGCTGGTCACGCCTATCCCCCAGGATCCTGCGATCGCTTTGATTTCCACGGGTTGCAACCGGGAGGAGTGGATCTGTACGCAGACGGGCTGTGGGAAGGCAAAAGGGAAATCCTTCATGACGGCGGCGGAGCATGTCGAGTCTGCAAATCACCTGCTTCAGCTGGAGAAGCTGGGAACTGCAACACGCGTCTCTCTCGAGAAAGCCATACTTGCCCTGCTCAAGAAGGATTACGGTCTTTAGCAGTTGGGTCAGCAGCGGCAGCAGTAGGTCTTATGGTAGTTGGCATTGTCGTAACCCTCAGCCTGTGGATGAATAGGGGCTGCCAAGGAGTGGTCCAATGAGTAACAGAAATGTATTATCTTTCGCCGGCCTCAACGTGAATGGGCTCGGTGGCTTCACGAAGCAATCTTGGGTTACTGCATGGACAAGGGAAGTGGCAGACGTTAATATCCTCACAGACACTAGATTAGCAGGAAACCACCCGTACTGGGGCTCTTTACGGAACGCCACAGTAGTAGCTAGCACGCCGCAGGAGAGGGCCGGTGGAGTTGCGGTCATCTCTTGGGACCCCGGCATACAGTTTAGAAACACGCTGTCTCACCCATCTGGCAGGCTCATTCGGACGGAGGTAGTAGGCAAAGGTCTAGAGGTCACCCTCGTAGCAACTTACTTCCCAGCATCTCCAGCCGCTCATGTCATCTTTATTAGGGACGTGGTAGGGCCGGTGGTAGATCAGGTCAGAACGGGTAGTCACCTCCTCATCATAGGAGATCTAAACATGATAGAGGACCCATTCTTAGACAAGACGTCAAGAGCTGGCTCGGTGGCCGGTAACGCTAGACTAGTCAGTAGGTGTGGCGCTTTCCAACTCTCAGACGCCTTCCGCACCCTTCACCCTAGCAAGAGAGAGTATACCTTTTTGTCGGCGGCGAAGCAGGCCAGCACACGGATCGACCGAGCCCTCGTCTCGTAGTCACTGCTGTCTAGTCTTGTTTCCGCGGCACATACCTCCCCGGAAGATCCGATCTCGGATCACGGGTTCGCCATTCGAGTTGCTCTCCGCTGCAGCAACAATGCGAAGCTGGGTCCCGGGGTCTGGAGTTTTCCCATCCACTTACTCAACAGACCAGGGGTGCGGAAGGTGGTGGAAGCGGCCGCGTCGCAATCAGGAGGGGATTATGTCTTGTTGCTGGCGAGGCTGAACGCGGGGCTTCGAGCTTACGCCAAGGAGGAGAGCAAGCGGGTCAAGGCGACGATGCGTCGCTTATCGGCAACGGTGGCGACCCTGAAGCAGGCGTTGCTGGGAGCGCCTGGATGTGCGAGGACGCGTGATCTTCTGAGGGTGCGGGAAGGACAGCTGAGGGAGTATCAGTCCTCTCGCCGTGACAGATTGCACCTGATGGCGGGCTACGGAGTGGAACTTAAAGGGGAAGTGGCTTCGAAGCATCTCTCTGCAAAAGTGAAGGCCAGGAAGCAGCGTACCAGGATAGAGGAGCTCAAAGTCAACGGTGCAACGGTTAGTGACAGACAAGGCATCCTTGACGCAGCGGCAAAATTTTTTGACGGCTTATTCGGAGCGGATAGGAGGACTCACCGGTACTCACCGGTCGAGCTGGTCACCTGACCGCAGGTTGTCAGCAGAGGATGCGGACGGACTGTCTCAGGATTGGTCGGAGTTGGAGGTGAAAGAGGCTTTCAAAAAACTGGCTTGTGGGAAGTCGCCAGATGTTGACGGTATCCCGAAGGAGCTTTTCGAGCAGCACTGGGATGTACTGGGGGAGGGCTTCATGGGGCTGGCGCGCTCCTTCTCTGCCTCCGCCTCGCTTCCTGCCAGCACCAAAGAGGCGGTTACGATCTTATTGCACAAAAAGGGGGACAAGGACAGTTTAAACAACTACCGGCCCATCACGCTGCTCAATTTCACGTATAAGGTTCTGGCGAGGGTGGTGGCGGACAGGATGAAGAAGGTGCTGCACTGGGTTATCTCCAAGGAGCAGTACGGGTTCATCCCGGGTAGAA